AGAGAAGTAGCAATCCTATGACTCAATCAAATATGCGAACGGGGCTAGGCGTATACTAGGCGTCCTTGGGATTATGTTGTCCAAGAAGCCCGGGCTTGCTGATATGGGATGAAGGTTCGAAACTTGAAAGACACCTCGCATGCTCGCACCTAGCATGAGCGTGCGGATAGGTTACCTTTGTAGAAACGTTGCATGGAGTACCGCGCGCATCTCATAGACGAGAAGGGCTTGCAATGGAATGGTATACCGAAACGCGTAGACGCCTTTACTGATTATGAGGCGAGAGTTGTCACTGGTGACGGCACCGCGGCACGGTAGTTAACCCTATGGTTATAATACTCTGTAGTACCAAGCAAGTTGTCTCTAAAATGGAAAGCTTTGCCGGCGAAGCTCCATTTTAATATGCTGTAAATCAAAGTGCGAACACTTTGATTTAAATACCTAAATACTAAAAGGAAACCCACTAAAACCCCCCTTTTGCCTGCAGCTAGCTGCTTTCGGCAGTTATATCGTAACTTGCCAGCCTTTAACTGTCTGCTTCGTTTTAGTGTTATATAAGCCTAGTTAGTTATATAAGCAAAAGTTATATTATAGTAGCCGTTAGTAGCCATGTTTACTATTGCAGTACGCAAGCTACACAGTCCAAATACGTTGTAGTTAATGCCTCAAATAAACTCTAACCAATTAAATCTTTGCAAAGTCCGTGTAAACCAATAAAAAGCCAGCCCAATTTTATAAAGTTTTAAAGGTTACCGTTAGAACTTCTCAAGCCTTACTTTCTTTTACACTTAATTGTCGTTGCCAATACGTGTTCAGGAAAGGTAAAGCTTTCCAATTATACATATACTCAAGCCCACATTTTAGGCACCTACTACCCCTTATCTCATGTTCCCGGCAGGGCCCTCATGCAAGCCTGTACTATTATAAAGCGCAATCTGTCAAACTATATGCTGTTAGGATTACGAATGAATGAATGTGCTAGCATGGCTCACTCATATGCAGTTTGGATATTCTAGCGTACGTATTGCAAGTGTTCTGAGCAGGGCGTTAGCGAGAAAAAGCGTTAACCGCCGACCGTCAAAAAGGGCCTAGTTGCCAAGCTGTGAGATATCCTCACTTTCACTCTATGTAGTATAGTACCCTAGACTAAGCCACCCAGGTAGATGTCGCAAATATTTCAGAATTATTTTCTGTATCGTCTTGAGTAAAATAAAGGATTTCCCAAATCGTTGACTAAGTTGGACTTCAGGAAACCTCTTGGAAGTGCTCGGTCGTGATTGAGCCTCCAAGAGTTACAGCTAGACTAGAGTGGAATGCTAGCGTGTATTAATATTGTATTCACTATAGATACGCGTTCCGCCCCCGGAATCTCACGTCGAATTCCCTCGTATGTTGAGGGTGGCACAATGAGGCGCAGCGCACACATCCTGTATTAAACAAAGTATACCTTTATGTATGTAACATGGGTCTTCATCTTAGACTCATCGTTATCTTTCATTTTACCATTAGTTGTATGTTTGGCTTGGTCTCCATCACACATTCTTATCGACTTGCGATTTCTCCCTCTCACTATTTATCGCCTGCTTGGTGAGACGAAATGGAGCGCGTCACAACTCGCGATGACGCCCCCGCACCGTCGGCGGTCACAACCAGCTTAATCATCGTTTCTGCCATCTTTCCGTTCATATCCGGTGTCGCTCTTATCTTACGTTCTTACGCGCTGCGCAAAGGCACAAGGTCGGTGTCGGCCGAAGATATTTGGTTTTGGGTTGCTTGGGTGTGTTTGTTTCCCACCCTGTCGCAAACTTGAGAGTCAGCGCAGCTTACAAGTGATTATGAAAACGGGAAGATTTCATCCCTACTGCTTAGCATCATAATCTGGGTATTTTCCCGGTCCGGGATCAACTACTATAGCGTTGACCTCATAGAAGGAACGCAAGACTCTCTGCGAGTTCGTGGCCCCCACCCCTTGGCAACCTCCGGGAGGGGCTAAAAACATCGGGCGTTGAGTTTTTAATTGTCGTGACTAGTTGATTTTCCTCAGCTCGGTTCTCATTCAACTTCCTCTCGCGGCAGTTAAAATAGCAATATTGCTCTTTTATAAGCGGATCTTCGCGACGAGGGCCTTCGCGATCGGGGTCTGGGTGTCGATTACTATCGTCTGTCTTTGGGGCGTGCTCTTCTTCTTCGTAAGACACCGTTCATCTGGTCTCAGCCTTCCTTAAGCCGAGCCAAGAGCCTGACTCATTCTAATCAACTCGCAGCTTACTCTTTTCCTGATAAGACCTTTGGAATACGCGCCCATCGACAAAGTCCAGTTTCGATATGATTTAATAGCTGTAGGGCTAGCGCAGGTCGCAACAAGCATTGCGCTTGATGTGCTTGTATTATGTTTGCCGCTCCCAGTTCTATTTCGTCTACACATGGATCTGAAACGCAAGTGGGCCATCGTTTTGGTGTTTTGCCTCGGAATTTTGTAAGTACACCCCTGTGATGATAAAGGTTGATAAACTGATTGCGCTAGTTGTGTTGCTGCGACCATTGTTCGACTGGTGCTCCTGAGCCGGTCCACAGACTTCTGTAAGTCATTTAGCAACCTGAGCATTGCATTCATTCATCTGATACGAATGGGATATAGTCATCCTCTTTACAGACCTTCGGGACACGATTTACATTTTCGCAATTATCGAGCCAAACGTCTCTATTTTGGCGGCATGCTTTCTAACTTACAGATCCCTCATTAAGTCGTGGCGTGTTCCAGAATTCATTATTCGCCGTGCGAGGTTTTTGTCGCGGATTAATAATAATAATACTCCAGCGCAGCCAGTTAAACCTACCTTATATGCGTCTAGCGAACGAGGAGCACAGCATAGGAGTCCTACATAACAAACTACGCATGTTTAGCACTTTTAACAAGCAGAAAAGAGATAGAATGGCAAAACAAAACCGGGGCTTATCGGCCGCGTTTGGAAGACGATAAGTTAGAGTACACCAACTTCATAAAGCACGTGTAACAGTAAATCATATAATCCAAGATATATCTGCAGAGGCGGCTACGACGGCATGAGGTGGATAAAAATGAAAGAGATTAGTTGCTCGGTTTGTTAATACTAACTTGAGACCCATCATCGCCACTCACGTGGCGCTGTCACAATGGCACTTAAGTGAAATGTATATTTTACATGAATTAGAAATTAGTTAGGTGAAACCTACTGTAGCCTTTCTAAGGATTTGAGGTCACTTAGAATGAATAAAATACAAAATTGTGACAATAAAAAGTCAATTAAGGTCTAAAAATAATATGCCTTTGATGAACGAAAACATCTAGATCGAGTTTTCCCATCAACAATTTCCGTACCAGCCGGAGGTCTGTTTATAATCAAGCTTTACTGCTCGTTTGGGCTCTATTTTTTCTTGCTGGAGCTTGACTTATTCTTCGTACCACTGGATGATGCTTGGTTGCTAGAGCTACCGTTCATAGGGTCGTAAGAGTATTGCTGGACCTTGGCATACTGATACGCTCCTGGGTTTGCGTAAGAGGGCGTCGCCTTTTTCATATCCTCGTCGGTAGCGTACAGCTTCATTTCGATGGGATTTCCCTTTGCGTCGTACTTGGTAGGATAGACAGACATTTTGTTTTGGTGTGAGGAGTTTATACTTTCTGTGAGCTTTTGTGGGATGATAACTGTGAATTTGATCTGGTGTTGCGTTGTGGATAGTTGATTTTTACAACTTCTAGTGGCTACTTATATAGACGATTTCACTATCAATCACTTGCATTGTGTGAAGCGAGAAGAATTCAATACTATTATGCATCTCACAACGAGATCGTGGTACAATAAAGAGTGTGATGAGGGCTGAATGCGTTATTCTCTAACTACAGGACTAGCTTTAGAAAACAAAGGGTCTCCAAGGGACTTGTTTCTTGAACTTAGGTATTGTTTTAAATAGAACCATTATCGGTAATATTCGTAGGGTCAGTGTGGATAAAAGCCTTATGGTACCTAGATTTTAAGAGATAGGGGGTTATTGTTTAATAAAAGTCGTGGTTTGCATTGAATCATTCCAAAATACCGAGGCGTATAACGAATAATGAAGTACTGTTAGCCTTGTTCTAGGTCACTTATGCTGTCATTGAATTGGAAAGGCAATAGATTGAAATACAGGCTTGCCTGCGAACAAGGCCTTCGGAAGAAATACCAAATTAGATACCTGCTGTTTCATTAGTCAATGATACATTCCTTTCCACTTCCTACTAGGAACTCGAGATTCACGTTCGACCATGAATAATATCTTTATCCGGAACAAGCGACATACGTACCTCAGCCGACAAAGTTACTCAATAAGCTTAACCCACTTGCCGGATTCGATTGGCGCGACGCCGAACACACTATTACCTCGGCGCTAGCAAAGCGTCAGCCACGACAGGGAAGATGACCATCATTAAAGGTGCAAAACCCTTCTCTTGAGTTTGTAAAATAGTTATATTGAAATGTTATAAAGAAGCAACGCATATAGTTACCCATGTCTAAAACAAGACATAACCGTCATAGTTTGCCTCTGCCTTACACCGTGGCGGCCTGTCTAAGTGAACAAGCTATCGCATTGGTACACTATTAAGACGCTGTTTAATTTACGTTCAACCCTCTGCTGAAAGCATTGGTCAAGGTCATGTAGCATGTAGAATACATAGTCACTAACACTGTTTCGTGTATATAATAAGGGGTTCTCCAACCTACCTCACAGTTTAGATAGTAAAATCAATCCACTCATATACCTTCTATTTCAATACTCTCTTCATCTACGTAGCATTCTCCTTTGTATTGAACACAATTGAGAAATCATAGCCTGCAATATCTATTTTCTGTAATGCATCCCTAGATCTCCAGTTGTAAACGCACGTTCATTCGAGAAATTGCTGTAATAGGAAAGGAATGATCCGCTGGTGCTGAAACAAGACCGTCAATTCGCGGTAGTGAAACCATCGAACACAAGCAACTGGTCGCTTAGCTCAGTTGGTTAGAGCGTCGTACTAATATTATAAGAGATTATAACATTAGTGATGCGAAGGTCATGAGTTCGACCCTCATAGTGACCAATCAATTCATTTCTTTTTTTTTCGATTTTTCCCTTGTAGGGTTACGATTCAGCACGCCGTCTTTTACATGCAAACTCTGCCTGGCACTAGGGGGTTTAGACTTTCCTTACACTCGGGGATGGACTGTCAATGAATCAATTAATTGCGGTCTTGGGATCTCTAAATTACCGGCCAACTAGAATGTAGAAACAAACTGAGGAGGAAAACTATATACTGAAGCTAAAACACTTAGGAGACTAACTTTTAGTCGACCCAAAAAAAAAACTTGTCCCACTCCCCGTCTCAATTCTTAGATTGGGGATTGGCGAGAAATATGATACCTATCACCAAACAGTGACTTAAGGGGCGTAGGACTTGAGTAAAGAGTTGTAGTAAGTGTAACCAGTTCCACTCGGGGGCTCGAAGGAATAGATGTAGTCACCCCACCAAGGACCAGCAGCCCACCACAAGGCGCCCTGCCACACATCGCTGTTCGCCTCCAGGTGGTCGAGGACGCCCTTGACGGCGCTCTGGCACTGGGAATTGGCACCGCCTGCGAATTCGCCGAGGAAACCAGCCTTGCCGTTCGCGCGCAGCCAGGCGGTGGCACCGCTGATGCGGTCCGCGCCGATGGTAGTAGACACGCACACGTCGGAGGTTCCAGAGTTGTCGGAGTCGAGGTACTGGTGCATCTCGTAGAGCAGCTTGTTGGACGGGTCAGTCAGCCCCTTGAGGTTATCGTTGGTCGTGTTCCAAGCATGCGCGCCGGACCAGCCGTTGCCCTCAGCAAAGATGTACTGCGAAGTTGCGCCGGCGCCACGGATAGCGTCGATGGCGGCCTGGTTTAGGTTCAGAACGAGGGTCTGATCCATGTCATGGTACTCGTTGTTGGTGTCGAAGATGACCTTGTCGTTGGACTATTTGAGTTTCTGGAGTTAGCATTTGCCTCTTATAGTAAAAAAGGGGGGATGGGCAGGAGTAGTAAGAGTAGAAGATTCGTAATCAGGCAACTTATGCTCCTGAGGCACGCCAAAGAGGGAAATAAATAACTCCAGCGACTAACCTTGAAAGCGGTCGCCAGCTTTGTCCAAAAGCTGCCGAAGCCTGCCGTGTCCGTGATTACGTTACCATAGTAACGCCCGAAGTTGTGTCTTTGATATTGAAGTCAGTAAATAGGGGCAGTAGGGGGAGGCTGATGTAACCATTGTTCCTTAGCCCAGCAGGGAGAGGATCAGGAACGCTCACGGGTCTAGAATGGCATATGCGCCCTTGGCGGTGATATAGTCCACCGTAGCAGTCAGATTCTTCAGGTAGTCGGCGGCGATATCGTTGGTCAGCTTGTCGGCTACGAGGCGTTCCATAGAGAAAGCCACGCGGAAGATATTATAACCCTGCTCGAAGAGAGTCTGTATTCACTGGTAAGTATTGACTCATTGAATGCAAGGGCCTTGATTCTATTCCTTACCGTTATGGAGGACTCGTCAGGGAAGTAGAAATGCTTGCCCCAGATACCAGGATACTCTCCAGATCCAAACTCGGCGACTGACAAGTTGATTCCAAGCCACTTGAGCTTCCCAGTTGCGCCGGTGGTGGGCGTCGTAGTAGGTACCGTCTTCGTTGTCGAGGTGACTAGTGTGGTGGTCGCGGCGGTCCCAGGCAGACACTGAGAATAATACTGGTTCGAAACGGTGCAAGCATAGCCCGATACACACGCTGTCTCTCCGCTCCAGTTGACACCTCCACATTGAGCGTATGGTCCGGCCGCAGCGGCGGCGAGACCAGCGAGCGTGCTGCTGAGGATGAAGGATCGCATTTTGTCCCGAAGCTTCAGAAGACCTAGGCCTTGGTTGACTTGTGTGAAGAGTGCTGCTCTCTTCTCGACTCTCGAGAGACGACAGACGTCATTAAATACTTAGCCTGACGCTCAATGGAGGTCGCCAGTCCGCGTTCCTGCATATGCTACCATGTTTCTGGCTTAAGGCAACTAACCAATAATGGGGGTACGGAAGCTAGATCGACACCTAAAATGGCAAGTGGGTTCTTCGGCCCATTGTTCCACGAATGACGCCTTAAAATCCGAGATATAAGGGGCCTTCGTTAAACAGTAGTCGATGACGACTGCGTAGTATATGATTTGTATCAAATTCCCAAAAGTTGTCGCCATGCTGGGCAAATGAGCAATTGGATTCGATCCCGTGAAGCGCAACTTCCAAGGGTACGGTCGAACAGGGAATGGGTAAGTAAGTACACACGCCAATTGCTAAAATGCACAAAGATAACACAGGTGATTGGTTACGAGGTTCGATTTATTAATGTTTAATGTTTCTTCCCGTTTTTATTCGCATCTTCTTTCAGCATGACATGGTGGTTAGTGTTCCGAAGCCGGTAGAAAAGCCTCCGTTCAGGCATGATCGGCACTCTACACTGCGGGATCGCGGCCGGGTCCACGCCGGCCTTGGCAACGCACTCTTCGAGATCTATTATAGCAAGACAGGCTAGATAGTAGCTCACTACATTATATAATGCAAACCTACTAATGTAGAATCGAAATATAAAATTACAGGGGCGTACTAAAAAAAACGAGTTGGTGCTAAAGGCAATCGAACATATGCCACACAGATATGCAGTATCAAATTCATACCCCTATTTAGGTTTGATGCATTTTCTCCTTGTCGACAATAAAAATCCCAAATCGGCTAACGTCATCTTCATTTTCTTCTTCGTTTCCATTCCTTCCCTGTCCGGCAAGTTCCCCCAGCCCATCCTGAACAACGCGACGCCTAGCACCAGTGACAGTAGAGTTGATCGTACGCTGCGTGTCTCCATTACCCAGGCCGAAAGGTGCAGCAAGAGTAGAATTTGCTTCGCTCGCGGGGCCAAATAGCAGTGCTATTCTTTGCGCTACAATAATGCTATTGTGAAGTTGGGTGGCGGCTATAACGTCGTCATTCTTCGACGGGTCCCCTAAGGCCGAGAAGGGAATTGCCCACGGAGAGGTTAAAAGCAGGGAGAAAAAGTAGTCTAAAATCTCCGTAACGTTAACTGCAGAAAGCCAGTTATAGTCCCAAAGTTCATCGAAATCCTTGTAGTTATCAACGGTTATAGTTCGTACCGTATTTTCAAGAGGCTGTGGCGGATTACGTGAATCCAGGTTAAAATCGGTGTCGAGAAAGGTTGTGTCCACGTCCAGGGCTTCAAACGTCATGTTGCAATCCAACGCAGCGGCATGCTGAACTGTGAAGTTTGTGCCTTGCTGGATTTTACCCCAAAGGTACATCAAATCACTGGAAGTACTACTCCACCGACTGAACTATGACAAGCCAACATAAGTTGAATTGGGGTTAACGTACTACCAAAAATCGTGATTATCAAGACTACTTAGACCATCAAGCCAGGCGATTAACGGCTCGGCGTAAGTTCCGCTGAAATTCATGTGAATCTGGCTCGGTTCGTAGGAAAGGCATTTCATTCTGGGGCGGACTGCTGGGATTACAGCTGATACAGAAACAATGGGTTCATCGAAAATGGAAGGTAATGTGGCAGCGACTGTGAGTTTTGGAAAGACTAAATCTCTGTATGTATAGCGAGGAAAGGAGTAGCTGCCCTGGAGGATTAAAGAAGGTATTTCGATGCACGGACTAAAACCTGTGCTGACGTCGTTCGAACGCCTCGTGGGAATAAAATAATTGTTGAATTGAAGCATCAGAGATGTTGTTATTGGTATACTCAGATCTTGAAATAATGATGCCGAGAAAGCGGTGAATAAAGACGCAACAAGAAAAGCCATTGTTGTGGCTAGGGCTCAGAAGGGCCCGATCTTGATTTCCTGATAAATCGCTACTGGGACCGTCATATTGAGAAGTTCGAGCCGCCCAAAGATACTCCTAGGGATAGATTTCCTCAGAGCTATATACGGAGCAAGGGTTCGTATTTGGAAGTCTACGGCAGAGAAGACCACAGATAAAGTCCCCAAAAGGAGTGCCGGTATCGATTTCCATATGTATTGTATGTAGGTGTTGTTATCAACGTCTCCGAGGCCGTTTCCAAGATCAGACTTATATAGCAATAATTCCAAAGCGATAATTAGGCCAATTATACTCAGGCAGAGAACCAAGCGACAGGCAGGATGCAAAATGATAGGATATATAGGTTTTGAAACGGTGCGAGGAAACCGGCCAAGCCTTCTATTTTTAATGATACAAAATTGACTATGATTGGATATCGGATCATAGGAACGTCCCCATTGGAATTTTGATTGTTCGAAAAAGCTTACTAGGTGTTTGTCGTCCGAAGCTCCGGCATGTTTCAGTTGGATCGAAAGTTCGTGGCTATGCCGAAGAATTGAAATCAGATTCTGCAAGGTGGTTGGGCTGCATGGCAAGAATCCTTTGCTAGGAACTATGATGAGCGCAATAACTGTGAGAATAGCACAGACAGTGACTAATACGGCCATCCACTGAGCAATCCAGCTGTGCACAACAAGACGGTTTTCGTTTAGGGTGATAGAGCCTAAACTTAAAGTATCGTTATGTCGGGGCCATGAGATATGGTTTGGCGAGGACTGCACCTAATTGTTGGTAATAGTTTGTAATAGCCTTCTGTAAAGTGCCGACGTCAAATAGGTCCGCAGCTTCGGGCTCTGGCTCAAGCTGAGAAGTAAGCGCTATAAGCATGTTGGAGTCTGCATCCACCGGGATCGTTGAGAGGTTGATTAACCGCCTATAAAGATTGCTCCTATTAGATCCCAAGCCGCAACAGATCCGAGAGTTTTGCGAGGTGTACCCGGTACTGGGAGTACAGACTTCGCTTGTGTAGCATTTCGAGTCACTTGAACTTTATCAATGGCGTACTCGGATACGCAAAGTAAACTTGCTGATTTATTGAGGATTCCGACTCTAGGATTAACCTTGACATCGCCACCGAGTGCGCATGTATAGGTCGAGATATTCCTGGAGTAGTCGGTGTAATAGGTTATGTTGCCAAATATCGCGACAATTCGTTTTCCGGGATCACCTGGGATT